GGCCGGATCCGACCTCGATAGATCCTCGACGCAATTATCTCTTCAACCAAAAAGCTGTAGAAGAAAACTAAACAGACCATCAGGAAGCGCAAACCTTCCGCTTTCCAAAACTATCTTCCCTTTTTCAGGATCTTACAATATAAGAGATATATTGCTCTTGAAGTGGCAAAAACTCGCGTGAAAATTTCGGCCTCCTCGACATTTACTCGACGAAATTTGACAGACCCTATCTTTCTGCAAGGAAGGCTTCCAGAGCAATTTCGATGCTTGTTGGAAACGCGAAATCCAGCTCTATCTAACTCTACCTCAAGCTGCTTCAAAGGTTGTGAAATGGAGGAATGCAACCTTTTCATCGAGGGTGTAGATTCGGACGTTTTTTTTTTGAATTTCGGCAAATCTGACCCAGTGACAATCGCGCCGCAGCTGCCGTTGAATCGGCCTTTGATACACTCGGCTGTTTTGATATACTCAAGCAAGAATCAAGATTGAATCGCAACCCCGTGTCTTCAGGATTTCTGTGCGTTTCTGAACGAACCTCGCCTTGAGGTCACACAAAGTTAATGCCTCTTTCCTCGAGTCGATATTTCAGTATGTACACAAAAGTATGCAGCGATGGAAGACGTGCATAGATGACAAGATGAAGCGTCCTTAGCATTATTTTGCAGAATTTTTTTTGATTTGTTTTGCAGGATTTATTTTAATTGAATTAATTTGCTCTGTTAGAGGGGGTCGTGCCAGGATCTCGATTTCGGGGGGGGGGGTCGTACCTCTGCGACCACGTACTCGACACGATTTTCACCCTGCTGTGAAGCCAAGCTATGCGAAAGTAGCTAGAAAGTTCAAAAAATTTGATGAGAGCGTGCCGCGACATGTGACCAATCTGAAGGGTCGTCCATCAAATTGTCGCTTGTTTAATGTGATAAAAGTGACCCGTTTTTCTACAGATTTGCGACGTACAATGAAGAACTGATTCTTGTCTACAGCCCTCAGTGCTTTGCTGAATAGATCGACGGCGATCAAGCTCTACAAACTGTGCAAAACTTAAAATGTGCTGAAGGAGAGTGATAGCAACTTTCATGAGGCCAGCGGCTGGCCATGTTCTTCCGTATAACCTGAAACTGTTGCAGTAGAAGAGTAGCCTTAGGCTGATGTCAGAGTCCGCGATCCGTCGCAGCTTTCGCTGATTTTCGCTGATTTTCGCTGATTTTCGCGATTTTCGCGATTTTAGCGGGTTGCGCGATTTTAGCGAAGATCCACAGGAGTACACAAGGCACAACACACACAAGGCGCCCGCGAACTGTGCTGGAACATTTTCAAATTTCCCGCACATTTCGCGGGCGCTACCGGCTCGGCCGTGCTCGCCGCGGCGCCCATAAAACGTGAAAAAAAAGTAGGGGGGGGGGTGATAGGAGGCACTTTCGAGTTCCTCTAATACGTCGCAGGCTTCGCGCGGATCACAAAAATTGCAAGTGCCTTATTTTGAACAATTGAAACACTGAATATGAAACAAGTGGAATCATGAGCAGTCTCCATTAAACCATAACCATCAAGCAGAAGTGACGGCGGGATTGGAGAACACCTTGCAGTATGGATGGGGCACTTGTAATTTCCGTGACCCGTCGCGCAAATCGCGAAAATCGCGAAGACGGATCGCGGACTCTGCACATCATAACATTACGTGGGAAATTCATGCAAAGAAAGCACTAACCAGTGGGCAGCATTGGAACTCCCCGTTGCGAACTGTGAGGCGAGACCTATAGCATATCGATAGGCATGGGACATACTGTTTCAAAAACTGCGAAACCAACAAATGGCCCAAAACAATTACTGCAAGAAGTTTACGAGCAAGTTCGAAGTTGGCCCTGCACATGGGCCTGCATTTTTTGATGAGGCTACGCTAGCTGTCGAGGTAAACTGTGCTGCTGTGGTGTAGTGGTAAGGCTCTCGCTCATCATCATGCAGGTCATGGGTTCGGTTCCCGCTGCGGTTGACGTTTTTGCAAATCATGTTTCCGTACCCAGTAGAGAGTTCTATTCTCGTTTCTGACATTTATTTGAATAAGCACTAATCACAGCTATGCTAATGCCATTGACGTTTGTTGTGTGAGTTGAGATGAAGTAACTTTATGCGCACTTTCTTCTACACCCGGCGTTCATTAAAACCTCTACCACTCCACGGCTTGTCTGCCTTGCCGAGCTGTCGGGCATCCGATTTCAATCTTTCACCTTTACAATATCGATCCAGCGATGCACGAAGTGTAAAAGCAAAACTTCCAGCAAGCTTTCTCTTTTTGCATGTTGCAGAACTATTATCTTCTTGTTCCGAATTTTGCGAAAGTATTCAAACTACCTTCGCGGGAGAATACATCATTATTAACGAAGATATTCATCAGGAACATAGCGATAACTATATCTGTCACTCGGTCTTCACGTTCTGACAAGATGCTTGGATAAGTTTAAAACTAAAATAGAAGTCTCAAATGGGTATGAAACATGATTTGCAAGGACGCGTCAGCAGCGGGAACCGAACCCATGACCTGCGTGCTGATGAGCGAGAGCCTTACCACTACACCACAGCATCATTTGCGCCAACTTCGACTGCTCGTAACTTCCTTGGCAGAATCGTTTTGCAATTTTGGGTTCAGCCGTTCTAACCGTTGTCCCAGGCTCTATCGATGTGTCTAGGTCTCGGCTCAAAGTTCCACGTGGGAGTTCAATGCCTTCCCTCTCATAAGACATGGGTCCAGCACTCCCCACTGTAAGGGATGGACACATCCCTGGTACCTTGGAGGCACATCGCACCGCTAACCCAGCACAAGTTGGACCAGCTGGATTACGAAGTGATGCTGCAAACATCTTACTCACTAGACCGCTGTTCTATCAACTGTCACATTTTGACGATCTCGACACCTCTCGACCCCCGGAGAAATGCCCATCAAAAAGCCCAATTATGACATAAATTGACAGGTCCACCCAATTTTCGTAAATTTTTTGCATTTTGTTGCCCCGCCTTAACGTGTGTGAGACCCATTTAAACTGGTAGTAACATGTTAGCCACGCCCACTGACACGTGGATGGTATGCGGGAATATCCGTATAGTTCAGTCTGATTTCGATCGCCACTGCGAGCAGTGGCTTTCCCCCGGTCCCTCATCGTTCTTATTTTTTTGTTTCTGTGTGACTTGTTTCACTAATAAACCTTAGTGAAGACTAGTGTCTTGAAACATAAGGACGGCTTTGAGGGGCAGAGCCGGACCAAGCTTCTACGGAAAGGTGATAACTGATAGATCCCCTAGAACCGAAAAGCCACTTGGGGGCCGAACCCAAAACTTGATTGATCACCTGGAACCTGCATCACAGAGAGCCAATCCTCTGCTATTCAGGTTCTGAATAACCTCGCTTAAATTGGCATATCTACCAGAGGAACTGGATTAACAATTTCTGAGATTTCAGAAATGGAATCTGGTGAGGCGCCAATGGAGCAGGACGCCGAGAACAACCGAGTTGCTGACAAGGTAAATGCTCAAAATAACCTATCTAGAATCGTTCTAGAGCAGTGTCAAAAGGCGTTTGAGGAAAATTTTCGACATGTCAGTCTAAAGAAACGCGAAGATTTCCTCACGTCAGGTCAAAAATGCTATAGAGGAGACTGATCCTACCACTCTATTACTTCCTCCACATGACTGCTCTAGTAACGATAACGAAATTAATTCCAATATGATTACAACGCTAGCAGCTCAAGAAAAGAAAATAACGTTGTTACAGGCGGAGATAGAGAATTTGACCAAACGGCTGGAGATGACCGCCCATCTGAAAATAAGCAAGAAAAAAGGTGAGGGAACACCTTCAAATCTTAATTGCTCACAACATAGTTGCTCTGAGAACGACCAGTTACAGACTCGATCAAAACCGTCAATGAATCAGAACAAGTCGGCAGGCTGGCCACCCCATTGCCGAGAGGTCGGACTATTATGTGTCTCGCAATTTCCCGGCATGCAGCAAGATGGCCTCCTGGCCCTTGAGTCCCCCGGATGCCCTCCTCGCCACGCCAGACATCGCGCACCAACTACAACGACTGGCCGCTCCGGTGTGGCACTACCTGCGTCGGGGTTCTTTATCCCTGTAGCCCGGCAGTACCAGGCCTGTTTGGTCACAATGCTACCTGGAGGCGCGCTTGGTTGCCGCTGCTTTCGCCACGAGTAGCTGGCAGATGCGACGCCTCTATCTCCTTGTGGCGAGTACGTGTTCTAGTCCCTGTGTTCGTACCCCTCACCAGAAGTGCTGCCCGTGCTTCGTGGGCCGTATCATATACGATTTGTGGATGCATCCCACCATGGTCGCTCCGGTGAAAATCGAAGTCCATCGTGGAACAACTTTTCCCAAGAGCCATCATCGGGTGAGCATTGTGAACAACCGTTTGATAAACCATATTTTTCTGCAAATATCGAGTCTGGAGGTCTCTTGCTAGTTTTGAAAGAAATGATGAAGGCAAATACAGCGCCACCCATCAATAAATACAATGGTAACACCCCTCTTGACGAGTTTGTAAAAAGCCTCAACACCAAATATCCCCCAGGGTTGTGGTCGGACCCAGAGCGGTGTAGTATTTTGGCCAACCATCTAGAAGGTAGAGCTAAAGCTGCGTATGAAAATTTACCAGAAGAAATAAAAGGCAGCTCATTTACCGCTGTGATAAACTCACTGCAGGCAGCACGTAACGAAACAGGCGAAAGACTACTTGCGCTAGAACAGTGGAAAAATCTGAAAAAGCACCCACGTGAGTCCGTGGACGACTTTTGCATCAGAATGGAAAGAATCTGTAGACTCGCACATCCAGGGCAAGACATGGATTTCGAGCTAGGTTCGATGTTGTATACATCACTAAGATTCTGGTCCAATTCTTACCACATGATTAGCAGCGCTCGAAGCCCAACCTGGCCATATTTACCAGTCTGTTAAGGAGGTAGCCGTGAGACTGGAAAAAGGTAGAGCCACTGAAATGATGGTTGGATTGCGGAATGCAAGCAACCACCTCAAAACAAAAGGCCAAGACGAGCGCAAACTACCTGACAATCAAACCAGCAGGGAAACGGTAAACCCTGCTGGCGACAGGGATAAAACACGAGTCAAGTGTTTCGTATGTGGAGAGGAAGGCCATAGAGCCAGGAAATGCTCCAAGATGAACAAGTCAGTTAACCCATCACATGCGTCGAACGAATGCAGTCGTAGGCCACAACCAAATTCACAACCTAATAGGGCTCCCACTGCCCGCCTACAGGAATGGTGTGGCACTGTGTCAGTGGCTAAAGGAAACCATCCTAATCCACAGGTGTATGGAGAACCATCGCTGTGCGAAGTCTTCTCAGTCGGAAATTCGGGCTAAAGCTCTCATTGATACTGGCAGTGTTATCTCAATAATCTCACTAGGTACACTCAAAAGAGCGCAGAAAGAAGGCGCAGACCTAGATAACATGATAACAATGCTAGGAGAAGTTGGTGTACACGACATCAAAGATGCAATGCAGTTCCTACAACTAATTTCTACAGATCTGGAAGTATTAGGAGCAAGAAAAGCCCGTGTGTACATGCATGTCCAAAACAATATGGACGAGACAATACTGCTGGGTACAAATGCCCTAGAGAGCCTCGGCATACAAATAGTTTTCGCTAATCCTACAAGCGGTGAGATCAAGGAAAGCTGGAGTCATAGCTCAACGAAAGTAGCCAAAATAATCGAAAGAGTTGTTGTGCCACCTGGAGGTACTTCCAATGTGAAGATAGCAGGTCCAGTGTCGCACGGTGAGAAGATATTAAAGTTCAATACCGATCGAATCAATGCAGGAGTCTGTCTCATAGAAAAAGGCACAACAGTCATCCCAGTGACGAATAATAGTGAACATCCGTGGACTCTCAAAAAAGGTGACTGTATAGGAAATTGGACTGATGAAACTTGGTATGCCCCTGACAGTCGAATAACACAAAGTGATATGCTCCAAATGCAAAAACCTGGAAAAATATCACACGAACAAAGGCTGGGAGAGCTGTTAACTACTCTCGCCAAAAATAGAAAAGAGAAGGATCATCTGCCCGAGGAACTTGTAAATGTCATCCTAGAACATAACGAGGTGTTTGCGATCTCAGATACCGAATTAACCCAAACCGATCTGGTAAAATACGAGATCGACATCGGTGAACAAGCTCCTATCAAACAGCGAACGAGGCAGATCCCCTATAGTCTGAGAAACAAAGTCGAAGAAATGCTCCTCGATCTGAAACATAGAAAAATCATCGAGGAAAGTTGTTCGCCGTGGGCTTCGCCCATCGTACTGGTAGCGAAAAAAGACGGCACAATCCGCCTCTGCGTCGATTATCGCGAGGTGAATAAGTGCACCAAGAAAGATAGCTACCCTTTACCGTCGATTGATGTAACTCTGCAAAATTTACAAGGAAAGAAGTGGTTCACATCACTTGATCTTGCCAGCGGCTACTGGCAGATACCGCTTTCAAATAAAACGAAAGAAGTCACTGCATTCACGACCCCATTCGGATTATACCAGTACGAACGTACTTCCGTTCGGACTGATTGCTGCCGCTCCAGCAGTTTTTCAGAGGCTTATGAATAAGGTGCTAGGACATTTCATGAAGACTGGTGAAGTTTCAGTCTACATTGACGACATCCTCATTGCAACAGACACAGAGAAGCGACACTATGAAGTGCTCGCGGAGGTTCTGCTAACCCTCCAGAAAGCTCACTTGAAAGTTAAGCCTCAAAAGTGTAAATTGATGGAGCCACAGATTGCATTTCTAGGGTCACATTATTGACCAAAAAGGCGTTCACACAGATCCTGACAAAATTTCAAGAATTGTCCAATATCCTCAGCCGAAAAACCTTGCCGAATTACGTACATTTCTCGGTCTAGCAGGATATTATCGCAAATTCGTATTCAGATTTTCCCATATCGCGAAACCCTTATACGATATCACAAGCACAAAAATCCAGTACAGTTGGGGCAAATCTCAGCAGGAAGCCTTCGATACCTTGAAAGAGGCCCTTTCAAGAGCACCGGTTCTGGCTCAACCTGACATAGAGAAAGCGCGCGATGGCAGTCGCCCTTTTTACCTGTATACAGACGCAAGCCAAAACGGAGTAGGCGCCGTGCTGGCCCAAGAAAATGACGATGGACTCATACACCCTGTGTACTTCACCTCAAAGCCGCTAAGTCAAGCGGAAAAGAAGTACCATGTGACCGATCAAGAAGCACTAGCCTTGATTCACGGTCTCAAAAAGTTTCATCATTTTGTATACGGAGTCAGAACGATAGTGAGAACGGACCACGCCCCACTAACATCATTATTCAAAAGAAAAAATGTGTCACCACGAGTCCTAAGATGGGCTCTCGAAGTTCAGCGCTATGATTTGATCATAGAACACATAAAAGGTTCTTCGAACAGTGTCGCAGATGCACTATCGCGTACGGTTGATCCAGAAGAATCTACGGACATACCGACCACGGGCGAGAACGAAAAAGTTGTTGGTTCCATACAGAGCAATAGATGGCTAGATTTGCTAAAAGACGACCCAGACTTTGAGCCCTTAATTTCTGCACTGGAACAAGGCCATGTCGTCGATGTTTGATTACCTCGCCTCGAACGGAAACTAAGCAGCGCTGATTTCGTAGTTGAGAACACCCAGTTAAAACTTATCCGTGAAGACGGAACTTTAGTCACAGTCGTCCCGAGACAATGCCGAAAAGATGTTTTTCATGAACATCATTACGGGCTTGTGGCAGGACATTTCAGTCCGCACAAAATGTTCAATCAACTGAAAAAGATCGTATTCTGGCCGGGGATGTGGCAAGACATTGCACGCTGGTGCAAAGAATGTCATAAATGCTTTCTCACAAACACAAACAAATCGAACGTGCCACCGTTGAAACCAAGTTTCAGCACACGTCCTTTCCAAGTAATTGGAATCGATGTTTTGGAGATGGGACCAACTTCGAGTGGTAATCGATATATAGTCACTATAATCGATCAGTTCACCAGATACCTCGGAGCTTACGCTGTCCCAAATAAAAAAGCCGAAACCATCGCTGAAGTGCTATTCAGCAAATGGATATGCGAGCAAGGTCGATGGCCTGACACTATCATGTCCGATAGAGGAACAGAGTTTGAAAACTCTACCACAAAAGCACTCTGCTCAATAATGAACATCACCCAAAGATTCACAAAAGGATACTGTCCACGTGAGGAACGGACTCACTGAGAGAGTAAACGGTACAATTTCAAGAATGCTCAAGAAAAAGACAGTAGTTCCGTTCGGAATGGGACAAAATTCTTCCACAGGTGGTCTATGCATATAACGCCACACCCCATGACGGTACGCGAGAGAGTCCCACATTTTCTGCTTTACGGCCATGATCCACATTACCCATCTGATGTAGTGCCAACGACCGAGCTGTCTCCCAACTTGGTCGACTACGACCAGTACAAGACAGAGTTTTTAAATGGATTGAAACTTGCTCGAGAATGCATAGACGAATATGGTGAATTATATCGGCAAAAGATGAAAGCTCAATACGATAAAAAGTGGAAAACAGATACATCGGAGGTATTTAAACCGGGCGATAGAGCCTACATGAAACTACCAGCCGAAAAAAGTAAAAGCGCGCATCCTAAGCTAACATTCGATTGGAGTGGGCCCTTCAGAGTTCTTGAGGCAAGCGAGAATTCAGCTCTTATAACCAAAATTGGTGAAAATACTGACCCACAGCGCATACAATTCGATTGCCTCCTGAAAATTCCACCAGAATTGGATGATACCCCTATCACGTCAAATACAAGACGTGGGAAAAGAGGCCGACCTAAAAAATGTAGTAACCAAATTCAATGTAATTTGATACAATTAATCAACTGCTTTTCCAGGGAAACAACGACACACGTCGATGACTGTTGCTCGATCGACTTCCGATGCCCTGGACAATACAACACATCGTTCACAGGACAAATATCGTGCACATCTTCAGTGTACCTCAGTGATATTGTTCCGGGTGCCCCAATCCCCCAGTTCCCCATCCGTACCGTGTACGAGTTAGCTCGTGCGCTCACAATAATCCGTGCCACACACCTCAGCAAGGAAGCTATCTGTGCGAATTTACTTTCGCCTGAATATGTCGTCTTGGGAATTAGCGAGTTAGCACTCGCCATAGCCTTCATGAGGAACGAGGTGCGTCCATATTATGCTTGCGGTGACTAGCAGAATGAATGCAGTATCCAAAGAACATCCGCGGCTGACGGAAAGAGACCCATTCGATATAAAGAAGATTTACGAGATCGCATTCGATCAGGCTATTCACATGAGCTGGTCGGAAGACACGTGGAAAAATGTTCCACAGAAAAAATCCTTGATCCTGTTGCCAGATGGATTCCAACCGCAATGTGCAGGCCTGGAGTATCCAAGCCAGATGGCATACTGCTATACAAAGCCTGAGGACATCAGGTCTGAATGGTTTGAACAAGAACTTTCAGCTGTCATTCTGTTTACAGAACCAACGCTGACAAGGCTTTCACACTGGCTACCAGCCCTACATAACATCCTTAAAGCAGTGGCAACTGGAGCCGAATGGATAATCGTACCTGGACCTTACACAAATAAGGAATGGGAAAAGGCAGTAGACCAGATCAGGGATATAGCTGAGGGCACAGTTGTATCCTGCGAAGCACTCAAGCCAAGGATAAAAGTACTACTGCCACAAAATCGCGAGAATTGGTCGGGGCAACCTTGGTGTTGCCTCGGAGATCGAACGTGAATTACTCCACGGTTTTACTCTGCCGGCCCAGCGAGGAGATTCCTCAAACTCACGATTGAGCATTTCGAGCCATATTTTCAAATGAAAACTATTTGCACACACGTAAAAAAATCATTCGAAGGAGATCAGAGAGAAGTCAAAGGAACTCTCCAAAGGCAATACGGAGAAAATGCACGTCCTCATGTATATCAGCGAGGTAATCGCTTCGAAAGCGAACAGCCGCCGTATCATAGAGGACCACATTCCCATACGCCAGGGCGCTTGTTCGTGCTTCAATTGTTATAAAGTTTTTGTAAAGTCCCAAAAGAGCCCTTGGCACCGCAAAATACCCAAGAGGGAGAGGTATGTTCCCAAAACGAGGTTGGACACATCGCCCTTATTGACGCGTTGCTGTGTGACCCTGACTATTGTTGGCTACTTCTGAAGTTGTTTCATTGTTTTCTTCTCTGTTGTTCTGGTTTTTATCGCCGACAGGGACCGGCGTGGTCTTGGGAGGGGCATGTTGGTGAACCCGCCTTAACGTGTTGAGATCCGTTTAACCTGGTAGTAACATGTTAGCCACGCCCACTGACGTGGATGGTATTGCAAGAATATCAGTATAGTTCAGTCTGGTTTCGATCGCCACTGCGAGCAGTGGCTTTCCCCCGGTCCCTCGTCGTTCTTATTTTTGTTTCTGTGTGACTTGTTTCACTAATAAAACTTAGTGAAGACTAGTGTCTTGAAACATAAGGACGGCTTTGAGGGGCAGAGCCGGACCAAGCTTTTACGGAAAGGTGATAACTGATAGATCCCCTAGAACCGAATAAGCCACTAGAGAGTTTAAATTGTATGTTCGGGGATGTTTTATGACGATCTCATATGGCATGTTTTTTACAACACTTCTTTTCGTCCGTTAGCTCACTTCAGGTTCCTGATTCTTGAGTTTCTTCTCTTATTTTAAACTTGTTCCTTGTTGTAAATCCTTTTATAATTCAGGTCCGCGCACGTTTATCCACGGGTATTGAAGTCGATGTATTCCGACGCTCAATTACAACGTCACAGGATTGAAACCCTGAGTTAATTTTTTTGCCCTCTCGTTTCTATTTTGTTTAATCTCACTTAGTTCAGGTTCGCGCATATGGTTACATCGCTTCTTTCCGTCGGTGGCTTTACGTCGGTGATCTTAAATTGGTTCATTTTAGTTCAGTTTAGTTTTATTGTTTTTACTAACAACAACGTTTTATCGCTGTTGTTGTTAACGTTTTGTACTAATCCATTTTACTCCTATGTTTTATCGTAATTCACTTATAGTCAAGAATATGAAGGTTTTTATTCCTGCTTTAGTTACTAACATAGGATTAGGAGTTCGAGCCTCTAACTAAGACTTTAGCCGTGAAAAGGGTTCCTTTGAGGTGGAGTGTCCCGTACCACGAAAACCGCTCCAACAGAACCCTGGGCGCGCCGGCGCCTGCGAAGTCCTGCAGACATGACCCAGCATGATCTATCCGTGATCGTGCGGAAACGCACGGGCCGTTCGCAACGGCACCATCACGGCCTGTCCCGGTGTTCCCCGTCTGTCATCAAGGTTCTGCCCCTCGTCGTCGGTTCTGCAGGCTCGCAGGGCGTTAGCCCTTAGAACTCTATTCTGATGTTATTCCTAGTTCAACTATTTGTGGTCGATCGGCGGGTCGAGGAAAGCGACCCGACGTGAGTTAGTTTAGGAGTTACTAACATTACTTGTATTAATCACTAGTTCATAAAACATAAGAGTAGTTCATAATCATAAAAACTTAGTACTACACTTGTTTGTGTTATGTTGCAATAAGAGGTAAAATCAGCATGTTGTCTACGTAATATTCAAATGTACTAAAGTCGATTTCGTGGTTGTCACTTCGCTGGTCGTTAAGGTAGTTAGTTCATTGCTAAGTTAGTAGGCGGAGCGAGGCTGCTAATGGTTAACTGTTTGCACTCGACCGGATCTTCCTCACAAGTGGCACTCAAGCCCTTCCATGGACCCACCGACTCGCAACAACTGCTTTCGAGATCAAGGTTCGAGGCAGCTAGATGACAAATTTCGCTCTTTTGCTTGTTATTTCACGTCTTGGGCGGAAGTGGTGTAGTGAAAGTGGCACGCTTACCACGCGAGCGGTCCGGGATCAAATCCTGGGTCGTGAGTCGCCCGGGCCAACCAAGCCTTCCATCCCTCCGGGGTCGGTTAATTGGTACCAGACTTGTCTGGGAGGATAAAAAACACTGACTTGTACATCGGCTGGCCCCCGCAAGTAATGTACAAATGGAAGTAGAATGCGTGCCGCATCCCAAGAAAGGGATTGATCAACGGCAAATGCTTTATCCTTTATCCTTTTATTTCACGTCTTTCGATCGAAATTCCACTACTGTACCCGTGGGTAGCTTTTGCTCACAGAAATTTACTGATCTAGATCTGTATCAATCATTATTTATTTGTCACCCTAACTGCTTAAGTGACCTGAGGCGGCTCCCCCACTTTCTTCACGATTTGGGGCGCGGCCGCGGCAAACCCGGCCGAGTATGCGCCATCAGCTTACCTGAGTATTCGACGTTACATTACGTATCGCAATGTAACGTCGAATACTCAGGTAAGCTGATGGCGCATACTCGGCCGGGTTTGCCGCGGCCAGGGTGAATATCGGTCGAGGAAATCCTCGACAGGGGGGTCGTACCTGTTGGGCTGGGTCCATGGGGGGTCGTACTCTTGGGGTCAGTAACAGAAGTGGTATCATGGTGCAGATAGGTAATAGGGTATAGCGCAGCAGAAAATGAAAACATCTGAAAAAAAACATGATATTAAATTTTCTTTGCAGGTTCAGTCGCTCCATTCCTCCACCTTCATGAGAAGGGCGTATTTGAAGGCAGTACAAAGAATGAAAGTGCATCCCCGCAAAGAAGACTGCCACATGTGCGCACGCTGCAAAGGCACCTCCTCTGCCTATCACTCGCTCCTTCTCCCTTAATACCTCGCTGAGAATGACGCTGTTGTTAGGGACCCTGTCGGAAAAACGACAACCGTGAAGAAAAAGCGCTGGGCAAATGAAGTTGTTTTTTAGGTTACAGGAATAGCACAACACACTATGTCTACTACAATACAGTTTCGTTCGAAGGTCCCCATCATATAACACCTTTCAATCGATTCTGCAACTGTGAGTGGAGGAGGGATGCATGGCTTATACCAATACCAAATCGGATGATGACGATTGCTCCTATTCTTATTGTTTGCGTTCAAAGATATTGTTCTAGACACATTCCGAGTGTTGCCAACGAGTCACACTTGCAATGGTGAATGAGGGAGCGGATTTCCAGGTGGCCGGATCCGTCCTCGATAGATCCTCGACGCAATTATCTCTTCAACCAAAAGCTGTAGAAGAAAACTAAACAGACCATCAGGAAGCGCAAACCTTCCGCTTTCCAAAACTATCTTCCTTTTTCAGGATCTTACAATATAAGAGATATATTGCTCTTGAAGTGGCAAAAACTCGCGTGAAAATTTCGGCCTCCTCGACATTTACTCGACGAAATTTGAGAGACCCTATCTTTCTGCAAGGAAGGCTTCCAGAGCAATTTCAATACTTGTTGGAAACGCGAAATCCAGCTCTATCTAACTCTACCTCAAGCTGCTTCAAAGGTTGTGAAATGGAGGAATGCAACCTTTTCATCGAGGGTGTAGATTCGGACGTTTTTTTTTGAAATTTCGGCAAATCTGACCCAGTGACAATCGCGCCGCAGCTGCCGTTGAATCGGCCTTTGATACACTCGGCTGTTTTGATATACTCAAGCAAGAATCAAGATTGAATCGCAACCCCGTGTCTTCAGGATTTCTGTGCGTTTCTGAACGAACCTCGCCTTGAGGTCACACAAAGTTAATGCCTCTTTCCTCGAGTCGATATTTCAGTATGTACACAAAAGTATGCAGCGATGGAAGACGTGCATAGATGACAAGATGAAGCGTCCTTAGCATTATTTTGCAGAATTTTTTTTGATTTGTTTTGCAGGATTTATTTTAATTGAATTAATTTGCTCTGTTAGAGGGGGTCGTGCCAGGATCTCGATTTCGGGGGGGGGTCGTACCTCTGCGACCACGTACTCGACACGATTTTCACCCTGCTCCCCCCAAATCGTGAAGAAAGTGGGGGGAGCCACCTGAGGCGGCCACGCTCCCAAAATCTCGCTTATCCCATGCGGCCATAAAAGCCAAAATTCGCGTTTTCATCAAGATGTTAACAAAGGGAGAATTTCAGACGCATGTCCTGAGCATTATAGAGACACCGGAAGGAAGGGGCGCAATCTTTTGGTAGAAAAAAGAGCGAGAAATACTGAAAAAAAAACTCGTCCATTTAAAGAGTAATTGAGAAATTGAATTGCCTCAATGAGCAGTGAATTCATTTACTGATTTTATACTTCATTTCTATTAAGATATCAACGACTCAAGAAAGTTATCGACAGAGTATTAAATCTGCTCAGGACATGCGTCTGAAATTCTCCCTTTGTTAACATTCACCAGGTAGTCCACTGTTCTAATCAGTTGTAAGCTTCCTACAACAACTTGAAACTACTTGGAATTGGTACTTCGAAATTCCCAGAAACAAGACAATTTTTCATTCTTCGCTTTGCTCCTTTCCAGCATGAATAAAATTCTTTTCTGAGAAACGCTTGTTTTCAAAAAAAAATTGGTTAACCTTATCCAGCAGAAAAAAGTTACGACCGAATATTATATGGCAATACTTTTAAGCGCCACTATACGTCAATAATTTCTTCTTGGTAAACATAAAGCTTGAGTCAGGTTGGTCTTTTCGTCTATTTCCCCATTTTCCAAAGCTGTAATTTAGTCTGTTCATGATGAATATGAAAGGGAAACAAATCATTTCATAGAGCAGACGACTTCTTTTTGGAAGATTATTCGTAGAGGGGAAATTTCCTTCCGGCAAAAACGATACTACTCATTGGAAACTCGTCGTGAGAAATCTGGATTCGCAAACTCTGACATCATCCTAACCCATGAAATCTGTAGGACCGTAAGAATGATAACTCGATAGCATCTTAGGATATCATTTCTTTTCTGCGCCCCCCTAATGCATACATAAGCTGTGCACGTGGTGGTAGTAACCTGACCTTCCTAGAATTTTATCCGCCCTGGGCAATGTAGCACTTCGCCTTTCATTGTCAAGAACTCATATTTTTTGAAGTTGTGTAATTAAGTTGGTTATATCTATGGAAGACCACCCTATCCACTTCTGATTATAAAGGTACCGTTCGCGAAGCGTTAACGTTTCCAAGAAACCCATCAAGAATGGCTCATGAAATACTAGCACGGAAAGTGAGCCACTTAAATTGAAAGTACCAATCAGAACGTTCCACTTCATTCAAAATAGGCACGTTTGACAATGACAACACTTCCTGACAACACGTCTGACAACAGCGTAACTCGATGTCAGGCCAAGCGTTGCAGGCCGAGCGGGACGGTGTGACCCAATGACGGATCACACCCTTGTTGCTCTGTGACAAGACCCGCGCGACGCGTTGCGTCACGCCTTTCTCAGTTTTCCGCCTCCTGCTCATTTCTGCTGTTTCCTGCGAACTCGTCGAAGCTTTTGCTCCATTCGTGTATCGACTGTGACGTGGGGACGCGTTGTGCCTTTAAACACGCCTTCATCAGACCTTGTGGCTTACGTTCGTACTGATTGTGGAGCATTGAGCGCTTGAAAAAGCATAGAGAATTTTTTATTGCGTTGAATCACCATAGATAGCGTAATGGAACTCCATGCGACTCATTCTTCCCGCATGCAAAAGTTCCTTTCAGAGTCCAGTGAACTGTATTTCAGGGCCTTTTCGGAAAAATAATGACTGTATCTTAGCCATAAATCACTGGCTTGAGCGCCATCATCCACGATAAGAACGAAAAAAACAAAGATTGGGTTTGTTTGGTAAACAATGCGAAAACCTCGGAGCAGGGTGAATATCGGTCGAGGAAATCCTCGACAGGGGGGTCGTACCTGTTGGGCTGGTCCATGGGGGGTCGTACTCTTGGGGGTCAGTAACAGAAGTGGTATCATGGTGCAGATAGGTAATAGGGTATAGCGCAGCAGAAAATGAAAACATCCGAAAAAAAACATGATATTAAATTTTCTTTGCAGGTTCAGTCGCTCCATTCCTCCACC